GCCGATCGCCCGCCGATCGCCCGCCGATCGCCCGCCGATCGCCCGCCGATCGCCCGCCGATCGCCCGCAGCGGAGAAAACCACGGAAAACTAGACGGCCGCTAGAATTTTTCCTGCAGACAGTGGCTGAATTCGACCAGGAACGCTGAAATGCAATAATTTGGCCCACACTGCTCATGGTCGCCCGCTGCAGTTGCCCGCGTACCATCGGACTAAAGCTGTCCGGGTACAAGCGTCTATCCTCCCGTGGGGCTGCCTGGACAAGCAGTAGACCACGTTGCTGGCATGATGATAAAGTTAGGCCAGGACTAGCCCTCCTACTTGAGTAGTTCCGATCTAGACGATTCCACTTATTCACGCCGATGCGCCTCGCGAGATCTCTGGCTTCCGTCTGTTTCTCTGAGGAAACACTTTTCCTCGCTGATAATCTCAAAACGGCGATAAGACGTTCGATCAGAATTATCTCGTTCGTCCGCTGGATTCGAATTGTATTTCGGACCACCAGTTCATTTAATCAGCACAGACCCCTACACGACTCAGTATGTACTGCTTGTGGTTTATGTGAGAATGTATTTGTGTGGAACGCTGGTCTCTATTCATGTTTAATATGTACGATAAATTAGTAGTATGTATGTACCATGAACTGGGATCATTTTGCTCTACATTCTAACTTTTTTCAGTTTTCTGGGTGAAAATCGGCTTTATCTTTCTTTCATTATTGTGAGCGTGCTCATCAGTACTTAAGTATGTTAAAAACATTTATCTCCCTAGATTTTTTCAGATTTTTTTGAAGTGCTTACCGATGATGGTGGAACATTAGTATGCTAGAATTCGAGCAAATAAGTAGCTTAGTTTTATTTTTCAACTTTTCTTCGGGTCTTTGGCGTGAATGTTTTATGAATGTTTAATTACTTTTGAATTTGTTACGTAAGAATGTTACATACATTCTTACGTAACAAATTTAAAAGTAATTAAACATTAAAAGTAATGAAACAAAAATGGTTAAAATATGAAATGCTTTATTAAAAAATTACAATTAAAATAAATTTTTATTAAAGCATTTCATATTTTTCATTATATTAAAATATTAAAAAATGCGAGTGTTAACAAAATTCATTTCAAAACAATTCTGAGCTTTTTTCTTACTATATCTCTTCTTTCCGATAAACACGACACTGAATGTAAAAATTGAATAAATTGAATTAAAACTTGCCGCTCTTCGTCATTCTTGTCTTTGCACCCCGTCGTCGCTCTCGCTCCCACATCCTCTTGTTTATTCCCTTACCTCTCAGTCGCCCTCCTCGTTCAACAGACCGCCCCGCTGGCTTTCTGTCGCCCGTTTCCCGCGCCCTCTTCCCCGGGCGGTGGGTGCGCCCCGTAATCCGCTCCGGCCCCCGCCGCGCTCTAGGGTTTCGTTTGCTGATTGGCGCTGATTAAACTTCCTCCCTTCTTGGAAGCACTTTCCATAGAGCTGTGGCACTGCACTATCTGCAGCTTGAGGTCTTTGCTCAAACTCAGGCATTTCCTTCGGGAATTTCCGCTCCATATTTTATCACTAATTTCCAATCCGCGAAGAATTGTAAGAAAACGGCCCAGTCTTTGGCCATTCTCCAAAAGAAAACAATAAAATAGTTTCGATTTTGACTGAAATTGCAAATGTTTCACTGTGTTATTTCGTATATCCTCATACTGCGCGCATGCTGATCCTATTTTAGACGTTTAAAATGAATTAAATGTACGTATGTATTCCTGCTCTACGGCTTTGCACCTTTCAGTGCATGCAGACATCTCCTTCGCCTGTGACGTATTATTCTAGATGCAGTCACTGTGGTACCTGACAGTCTCCCCGTCCATTGCGCCGATTTGGGTCGTGAGCCAAGATCGGTCGTTCTACAGACTGTTGATATAGCGCAGCTCATGAGCCCATCGCGCTTAGTCTTGTGTGAGAGAAGGGAACCAGGCTACACTTATTATCCGTTCACCCTAAGAAACAAGTAAATCTGTGTTGGGGTGATTCTCATTCGTTTGCAGTGTGTTCTTATACAGATAAGTATTTACTTTAGCGTCAGGATCTCAACAACAACTCAGATCTCATACTGCTAACTAATGGGAATCATCCTAACACACGTGCACTTGCTTACATCAGGAAGTTTCTTTGGGTGAACAAATAATAGATGGTACCAACGCTGCAGGCCATATGCCCGTATGTCGCGCACCCGCTCTCATCCCCACACTCGCCACTTACGGTGGAACGAGAAGGAATTAAAGAGAGGGTTTTAGTTTTGAGGGTGATACAGAATGTGCTAGGAATCTACTCCATGGCATAACTCAAAACAGCCGTATCTTATGCAGAATTCAGACCCTCCTTCCGGATGTAATACGCGTGTTTGGGCGCAAATGCCCCAAGCTCTTACAGAATCCAGATCAGCCAAGAAGGCAAGGAAAAGAATAGAAAGAAAAATTGTGCTCGCGGTGAGATTCGAATCAGCCACTCTTCAAGCCGAGACTGATATGGCTCAACAATCTCAGCGATCTCTGTTACCCAAACCGGCCTAAAACAGAATTTCTTAGAGCGAAAAAAAATTGTATATATCCGTTGTAGTAGATTTTAATATTTATTCCGCTCCGGCTGATATGACTCAGGACAACTGACGTCACTGCAGTGCTTCTGACTGGGAGGTCCTTGGGTTCGAGTCCCGACGATGACAGGATTATCTATACAGATCGAATTCAACTGCTGTCTGGAGGAGAATAGTAGTGCCCGTCTGCTCCGATCAGGAGTTTGTGGATCGGACAGTGATTTCTCCGATCAACACCAGGCGGTTGCCGGAGCAATACCCCATCTAGCGGACCACGGGCCGCGCGCGATCTTTCCTTCCTCTTCCTTGTCCTATCATCACCTATTACTTACACACAGACACCCCCCCAAACATGAACTAAACTACCGCACATATCGAGAGAAGAGTCGGAGGCTTAGTTTGTCCGACTGGGGCGGTGCCCTACTGCTGCGAGATACCTGTGTACGGAAAACTCCGCAAGCCGACGTCTAGGTCGGCGCCGGATCTCACCATCCAGTCGGGAAAGAACACTGCTACTTTCCGAGATATAAACCTGCACTACACTTGATGAGTGTCCATAGCAATTGACGTGCCTGGAAATTCCAAAAAGTCAATCAATATTTATTCTCAGACCACATGTACTGCTCCGTCGTTTCTTGAGCGTGCACTCATTGGCTGTGCGGTAGTTCACCCGCGCGCGCTGTCCGCCGGAAGTCCGTCGGCCTCATGACTTGCGACCTTTCATAAGGAAACGCCTCTTGTTATTCCCCTTGTTTCCACAAAATCAATGGTCCGTTTTCAATGCGCATTCCTCGTCTGTGACCACAGGCCCGCTTAGTGATCTGCATGAAGTACTCCCGAACTTCCTCTAGCCATGGTTTGACCCAAGGAGGAAGATAGGGAAGTTCACTTCGGAGCTGAAGTACTTTTTCATAAATTCATAAATTTAAAGTAATTCAATAAAAGAAATACTGAAAGTAGTAAATGACAATAAAGTATTATTTAATTAAATCAATGAGATACAGGTTTAATGAAAATGAAGTTCACTTAATCACTGTTCCTAATTTTCACTTTGCCCAAAAGATTCCCTCCTTCAAAATTGATTTCTGCATCCATCCACGCACGCTCTCTGGCGATTAAGAATAAAATCCGTTGTCGGGAGGACTGGCAAAAGGCCTTTGGGCTTTTATGCCATTGAATAAAAGGAATTTACCCAAACATTCAGAAAGGGGGTTCAGGTGTCATTCCCTCACTCTAAAATAGAAATGAACAAAAATTCAGTTTGGCTTCAGGGAGCGATTCAAATGTGGAAATTTTGTGTGTTCGACATACTTTACTATAATGAAAAAGTATGTTCAATGATAAACTGTTTCATTTACTGTAAATAAATAATTGTAAATAATTTTGTAATCAATGTTATACATTAGAGTTACATTGTGAACGATTTAAAACTTTTTTTAAGTTCTGTTAAGATTCCTAACTACGTTCTATTCGCAACAGCCACCTACTGGCGTGGAACTTAAACATATATATATATATATATATATATATATATATATATATATATATATATTCCTCCTTTAATTTTTTAGTCAGTCATCCACAATCATTGCCTTTTAACCCTTCAGCCAGGGGCTCGGCGCCGTGACGTCCCGGAGGGTGCCTAAACAGTCATCCAACCAGGATTGCATGTCTCGAATTTGCATAACCTCCTTGACTTCACGGAGCGTAGTTAACGAACATTTAGGAATGTATAGTGCGATTAATACTATTATACATATGTTAAAATTAAAATATTAAGAAATGGAATATACTTAAATAGTACTTTTGTGGACTTTTAAAAAAACACTTTGTTTTAATTTTTTTTTCAATCTGTTCTGGACTTGCATAGATTTATGATTAGATTCCCGTGAATTGCAAGTTGAAATGGAAAATAACGAAACGTTTGCAAGGTCTATTCAAAGTGACTCACTAGCATTGTAAAAAACGAAATACTATTAGTCTCTTGTCGCCAGAGTGTCGCCCAATTCTGTAATCAAAAGTTCCGAGGTTAAAATTTACCCTTCTCGGAATCGGTAGAAATACCGTACTGGCACGAAAAGACGCTATTTATTTCTTTCCAACTCTTAACCAAATGAATATGGGATACCTCAAGGCTCGATCTTAGGTCTTATCCTCTTTCTGTTATAAGTAAATAAAATGCCCTCGTCTATTGAAAATGGAAGAACGGTTCTATTTACCGATGACACGAATGTTCTTTGCGAATAAGAAACAATAAATAGTACGATTTTAGAAGTTTAGTAATAAAAAATTAGAAGTTAAGGAAGGAAAAACAGTTTCAGTGCATTTTTGCATTTCAAATCAGCAATCGCATGCGCTATTAAAAATTAACAATATGCAATTAGCTGATGTTCAGATAACAAAATTTCTAGGTCTCTCAGTTCAAACCTCAAATGGAATGTACATATAACACAATTAAACACAAAATTAAGTTCATTATGTTAAGCATTCAGAATTCTTTCAAATTCTGTCAGCCTTCATGCAGCTCGTTAAGTGTATTTTGCAAATGTACATTCCCACCTGAGATATGGCATAATATTCTGGGGAAACTCATTATGTACAACTAAGACCTTCAGATTGCAAAAAAAAACTTCGAATAATGAAAGAATGCCATCCGTGTAATCCCTGCATGCCTCTTTTCATTGAGCTTGGAATCTTACCACTTCTTACCACTGCCTTGCCTATATATAT